CTCTCTCTCTCTCTCTCTCTCTCTTCTCTCTCTCTCTCTCTCTCTCCCCACGGCCGGCCTCTGGCCACCGATACGGCAATGTGTTCGACGAATGCATCTGACGCGCGCCGCGCCTCCGCCTCCTATTTATGAGGAAGTCGTAAATAATTACATAGCGCGTCGATGCATGAACAGTGTGCAGACCGGCGTCTCGCGCCGACGCCATACACGTAAATCGCGCGAGCGCCGGCAGATGGGTGGACTCATCAGTATTCGGAGTGGTACGCCCCTCCAGGGCGGAGCCACGGCAGAGGGGAGGGAGAGAGAAGGGTACTACGCCCCAGATATTGGAGGCCCCGCCCCGTGGGAATGTGATGCTACATCGAGCAGCGATTATCAATGTTCACGTATCATGAGAGTGTGTATAAATTGGTGAGGCGCTGGAATTTACACGCCAAATTATGTCGATGTATAGTTCATGGAAGTCACGTTACTTTCCACGCCAAACGAGCTGGGAGCATCCACTATCATGAAACATTTCCACACGATCCAATAACACTCTTCAAAATATCTCGCAATAAATCCCTCATCGAGTGCCGACGGCTATTTAGGAGCCGGCGCCGGTGACAGAACTAGTCAGCTGCTGTCGAACCGGTGATCTATTCTGAAAGCTGTCGGCAGCCAGAGTCAGCAGCACTTTCGAACCAATCAACAGACGGATGAGCACCGCCAGTGGCCAGCAGTCCAGTAAAACCGCCGCTCAATCACATGAGCGGCACGACTGGCGCCATCTGTTATCGGCGCTGGAATAACAGCTTCTGACAGCGGCGGACAGGTGTCTCAATATTGAGCATCCATCAGAGGATCAGGAACGCATCAGATGACACGCATCAAATCAGTCAGACCGAGAGCTGCAACATGAGTATAAATAAAAGGCTTCTAAGTGATCTTCAGGACTAGGAGCAGCAACTGCAGCTCATCTGAATTGGACGAAAGTCATGCATATCTTCCGTCACAACATGAGATGCGAGATTTCAGAGAATCATCAATTGCACCGCAGGAGCACTTCACTCCGATAACATTCAAAATGCGCAGATAAATGGCGTGCAGCCCTCAAATCCACGGCACATCACGTCAAACTGGGTTCGGACGTCGAACCGACATCACAACATGCGTAAGTGAGCCAGGTTTGGAGGAACGATCGATAGCTGCCAATCAAAAACCGAACGAGCCCTTTTCATTTCAACATTTGGGTTCGCGACAGATGATAAATATTCAGGACAGTAGAGGTAGCCGCAACAAACAAATGAAAAGGCTGGTGCAAAGTTATTCAATCCTGAAAGTCTAACAATTTCACCAGTACTGAACTCTCAAAATACCCTACAACTGCAATTCGATGCATTCTAAAACGGTCATCCCCCCTCCACCATCCATCCCTCCCAGTCCCCTCCAGCCCTACCCCGTCAGCGTCCCGTTACTCACCGTTGGCCAGTTTCTGCGCCTCGGACGCCCGGTTTGTGCCGCCGATGATGAGGCCGTACGTGTGGAAATGGTGGGCCATCAGCTCCTTGAGCACGCCGAACGTCTGCATACTCAGCTCGCGGGTCGGCGATATGATGATCACGCCTGACGGTAGGAGAACAGTCAGACTGTGACCACTGACCAGTCTGAGAAAGAATTATCACTTTGGTGGGGAACGCATACTGCCTTGCTTCACAGCGGTCCAATAGCAACGGAAAACCAGCTCGATGACGATAACGTTTCGAAGGCTCATCGAATGGGGCATCTATGTGCCAAATTTCTCTGAAAAAACTTCTTCTCAGGTCCTTCGGACAAATAAGTCTACTTCCGTTTAGCCGTCAGTCGTCACGCATTCCATTCGATATACATCGGTGACTCTCCCGACTTACGATAACTCTACCGACCGGGCCGCACCTACCGGTGCCGTTCCGAGGCATGAACTTGAGTTTGAACATGAGCTCCACGGCGGGGACGAGGAAGGCCAGCGTTTTACCGGAGCCGGTCTTGGCGGCGCCCACCAGGTCCTTGCCCTCCAGCAGATGAGGAATGCAGCGAGACTGTGGAGAAATATGGAGAAAATGTGACAGCAGTTTTCATAAAACAGATTAGGTGTGCAGCGAGACTGCGGAGCCCGGAGGCACACATACAAAACGTGTGTAACAGTGATAATGAGACAATGAAACACCCACCTCAAAACTCTACCGGTAGGTATATTATGCTGGGCCGGTAAAATGCTTATTACTTCATTTAAGACCGAGAGTTTACCAAGCTTTGCGCAAGAGACAGAATGTCCAGAGCAGAAACAACAAATCCCGATGTTAATCAGCAACATAATTCGTCCAAAACGAAGCCAGAATGTTGGTAGGTACATAGTTTTGCATCTACTGCATAAATGTAAAGAGAAAGGACCAAATGCAAGCCAGACCGGACAAATGCAGCTGAACGGGAGCCACAACTTGTACTCTGTCACAGCAGACAGTGGAGTCAGACAATGACCTGAGACTGCCTCCCACTCACCTGAATGGGGGTCATGTGTGTGAAGGTCATTTCTTTGATGGCGCGCAGTGTGAACTCACATACTCTGTCCTTCAGTGAGTCAAATGAGGTGTCCTCCACTGGATTTACACCCATCCATGATGCACCAGGTACTGAAAATGTAGATGCAGATTAAAAATATGACATGAATTCTTTGCAACAAGGCTCATACTTATCATTTAGTGTGAAAGCCATGAAACCACAAAGACTAATTACAAATTCTTAACCCTAGAACGCCTAGGGGGGGGGGGGGTTGTGTCAACCCCCCCCCCCCCCTGAGGTTTTTTCGAAGTGCACGCTAAACGGCTTGTCGTAGCGGGCTGAAATTTTCAATACCCTCTGGGGCAACCTTTGCGCATCTTTTGCCGAAAAAAAATTGATCGGGTCATGTCAGGTCACGGAGTTATGACGTCATAAGAGGTACAGCCTCCGGCCGGATTTTCACAAACTGAGTGCCAACGCCCGAGGTTTCCTGCCGGTGGTACGGACATCGGTTGATGGATCGTGATGAAACTTCCCATGCATGTTGGGGCAAGTATTGGCTATCATATGGTATAAGAAATTTGACCGGGTCAGGTCAGGTCACGGAGCTATGACGTCACAAGAGGAACAGCGTCCGGTACTACACCTTTTTGCGTTGTTCGATGGCCAATCGTCATAACCACTTCGGCATCAGTTTGGACAAGCGTCATTCAGCATAACCCATCGGCGATGTGCATCACTGTTTGACGGTCGGCAAAACAGGCTGGACTCCATTTAACCATTCTGCATAACTCTTTGTCATTGAGCACAATGTTCGTCATAGGCAAAACACTTTGTCATATTGTCATAATGCTTCGACATTTCACAAAATGGTTAGTCGATGTGCAAAATTCATCGGTACTGTGCGTAAACAATGACTGTTGATTTAAAACTTTCGTCAATGATCAAAATGTCAATGATGTAGTGCTTATCTAGCCATATTCAATGTTTAACGTTAATCACGCATTCAGGGATGAGGCTTATGACAGTTCCAGCGCAATTTGCAACCAATTAACTATTGGATTCCCGATTCCGAAAAAGGCAGTTATACGATAGCTACGAGGAGACTGCCGGCGCCATACCGAGTAGGCACGTAGATTCTTGAGCGTCGGACTCCAAGCAATTCGATACAAACCACGAAGTCGGCCGTCATTATCGCGTCACTGCCCGTGCGATGTCATGGGACAACGCCTCGGGCGGCCGCGCCGGTCGGACTCGCGAGGGAATGGCTGACAGATGGCGAGCCGGGCCCTGCCGGCCGGACACCTTGGTGTTTGGGGCGGCGCTGACTTATCCAGCCTGTTGCCTGTTCCTTGGTGTTTGAGGCGGGGTTAACTTATCCAGCCTGTTGCTCTGTTGCCTGTCCATTTTTCAATCAGCCGATAACATGTCAGCTACGTCCATCTACATTGTACCTATAACGCTACCGATTTTTATGTGGATCAATGGTCTGCGAGTTTCGCCACCTTTGCCTCGCACTGCACTGTATAAACGTGGTCATATTTGTGCTTTTCTGTAAAGGGGCGATCTGTTTTTAGTTTTGAGTTTTGACGAAATGTTATGAGGAATGCCGAAATTAGCATGGGGATGTTTTGGTGAACGACGAAGGGATATTAACGAATGACGAAGCATTTATCCAAATCGTCAAAGGTTTTGCCGGAACTCAATCAGTTATGGCGAATAGCGAAGGTAATACCAACTGACGAACTGTGGAGTGGGATCAGCATTCCGTTTTGCCCATACGCTGAAGGTTTTGCCGGAATGCCTCTCACTGGCGCCACCTATGTGCTGATCGGACGAATGGGTTTTGCTGATTGGCCATCGAACAACGCAAAAAGGAGTATTTTTGAAAAGCGCCCCGAACCACTATTTTGCTAATTCTTGTCACCTCAATGGGAATATGCAGCAATATTAGCTTCTATAGGGAGCAAATGGACCTCCCAAATCCAAAAATACAATCAGATTTCAAAATTTAAATTTTGATTTTTCGAATTTCTGCCGCCGACTGTGACCTTGCCGACTTCCGGCGCTCCCAACGCGCCATTTTTAGAGCTAGGGAAACGAAATACATACCAAACGATAGAGAATTGATCAAGGAACACGATAGTGAAGGTTTCAAGTCGATATCTCCCACCGTTTTGCCGCAATCGCCGCCGAAAGTTGAAAAAAAAAGTCTATTTTTCCGAAAATTTGACCTTTGACCGGTCAAAAGTAGGTCAAATGTTGACCTAGGACCAAAAATATACCACCAATCGCGAGATCTCGTTGAGAGCAATCCGTTGGTTTTTCCGCTAAGCTCTACGACCTTCCGTTTCGAAACGCCAGGGGGGGTCGTAACAACCCCCCCCCCCCCTGGTCGTTCGTGTTATGAGAAATGGCCTGGTCGTGTGAGGGTTAATTGGAACTGGATGATTGTGAATAATTCATCTGCTGCCTACTAATTCAATAAAAAATGTCTATGCATGTGACAGCAGCACATGTATTCCAACCTGAGGGGGTGGCAGTGGGGACTGGCTCAGCAGCTGCCTCTTCTGCATTTTCCCCTGCAGTCTGTTTCTTTTTCTTCTTTTTCTTTTTACTAGCCACCTCCTCTGTGTGCTGCTCCTCAGTCTGTTCAGTGTCAGCTCCTGTGTCGTCCTCAGTGTCGGCCTGTGCCTCCTCCGCAGCCGAACCAGACTCATTGGCGGCAGCTTCTGCTTCCTCTGAAAACAACATGAAACAGTGTGTGTTTAGCTGCATTAAACTAAAACAAACAAGCCTGAAAGAGGTAAGGAACATCAAGAGATTGTCATCCAGTTCTAACCGTCACATTTCAGCCAGATAAATTTTTAATAGGAATTAAAATTGAATAGGCCTGTTCTCATACAACTTTCACCCTTTTCTTTCCTCTACGGCATGCATGATAAAGTGAAAAAAATGGAAACAGCACCTCATGTTGCATCTAAAAAATCACTGAGCCAATGCTGATGCCCATTACTACCAAGATTGGAAATTATTCCTGTATGACTATTAACTGTTACCGTAAACCGGGGTGACAATGATACCCGGGGTGACTTTGATCATAGACCAATTTTGGGCCTCAAATGAGCAATTAGCTGATGTGAACTGTATTTTCTATGCCAATAGTTAAATAAAGCAATGAAGCATTATATCAGACGCTTTGTGTCCCAGTTAGAATAATCATGTTCATGTCACAGCTTGTTTTTTTGTTGTCATTGGCATGAAGTATAAATTCGCTAGCATCTCCAGCAAAAATAATGGTAAAGATGAGAAAGACCCAGATAAAGAAAGAGAAAGGAAAGGCTTAGATACCGATGATGGAGGATGAGCATTGAGCTGCTCTATTTCAGTGGTAATTGGAGCGTCAATGGGAAGTGAAAAAGACAATCAGCTGGGAGGGGCATCAACAGTGTGGCAAGTGGTCCCACAGCCACCAGCAGACAAAGTGTGATGTAGAACAGGTAGCCTGTGGCTTAGGACATCTGTGACTGTTACTTAATCTTGAAGTAAGAGGTTAAAGTAGCTAATTTTGCTGCTTATAGCTCTGTAATGTCAGTTTAGACCCAGAGCATGCAACTTTATTTTGATACCTCAATGATTCATAGTTTTACTGTAAAATGTGTGAGTTTTTGTCAAGCAAAGCCTTTGATTTTATTCAAAACATGTAATTTTATCACATAAGCCCCTTCTGAGGGCTCCTATGGCACACATAAGGTGATTTTAATGTAGTGATCATAGTCACCCCGACGTCTGGGTGAGAATGATCAATTTTTTGGTAAAAAATAAAATATTTATGATAAATTTCAAGGCATTTATTGTACTCAGTTAGATAGAGAATTGTCCAATTGGTATGATGAAACAGTTTCCAGAGTGAAATCTCAAGTGATATACAAGATATTGTACCAAACTGGTCAAAAGTGATACAAAGTCACCCCGGTTTACGGTACCCACCTGCTGCCTTCAGCTTCATCAACTTTTCCAACTTCTTCTTTTTCTTCTTGTTGAGCTTTTTATTCAACGCTTCCTCGTGGATAGCCATGGCTGCAGCTCAACAGCTCCAAAGCTATTTAACTTGGCAGATTACAATGGACAACAGCTTACAGCATTGGTATGAACAGCAAAAAGATTCCAATGGTGAATGGACTCCGATGCAAATGGAGATTGATCCCGTTCACGGCTTAATGTTAAGCCTATTCCAAATAAAACTTAAGTGCCGCGAGCCGTCTACAACAATTAGATATCAATATAATAACGCCACTCCACTCCGACACATTCACGGAATAATTGTTTCTCTTTGACCACATGGGAAATTTCCGCATGGCATGGTTGCTGGTATACAATAGCCATATTGTATTTAGTGCGTGATAATTGCCTCAACTTGCAAAAGGAAATCCGTAGCTAAATGAAATTGAGTCCAGACATTTAAAGCCATGTAAAGAAAAGAGATAAAAACTGCTGTGATAAAACAAATAAATATCTAAGCCAACAACAAGTAGATGAGGCCAACTTGAGGCCAACATCAAAGCCATCTACAGAGCCAGCATCATTTTTACAACTTTTGGCCTTTCAGTGAGGATCCGCGAAACGGGAGACGACCAAGTCAACCGAGGCGATCTGAACATTGAGCAAGCCGCTTCCCAGGCCGTCCTACACCTACATCGTGATTGTGCGGTGATATGCATCCCGGTGGTAGTGATTACCCTAGTGGTTATAGATCAGTGGCTGTGATGGTGTTACAGGATATGCAGATGAAACTGATCAGCGGCGCCATCGCGCTTGATGGGCGGTAGAGGATAGGGCGGTATTCACATGGCCTCATGATGCGCCATCTCATCCATGATAGCTACCTTGTCAGATGCTCACATATGAGCCAATCACCTCTGACAAGAGTGGCTGGGCCCCTATCAGCCTTTCGCAGAACAGAAGACTTAATTAAGCACTGACCAGTGACCAGCCCAAGGTGAAATACGACGTTAGGATCGCGAGCGTGTATTTGCTGAGTGTTTTGTGCACTATATTAGCCTGTGAATATCACATCCCAAGGACGATTACTCCATCGCCGCGTCTAAAAAGTACAGCTACGAATCCCGTTTGGCACAGAGCATACAAAATGCAAATAAACGCCCGATGAAAAGGATCACATAAGGCGTACTTACATCACTACAAAACAAAAAGTAGTCTTTTTTCGCGGTATAACGTACTCTATGTCTCACGATGTTAGTATCAAATCGCCTTAATACCAACCGCTAGCGTCCGCGCAACAGGAATGCACTGTTTTTTGTCCGGCCGAAAATCCCTGCATCTATTGCACAATGATATACAGAGGAGCGGCCGGCCTGCACCGGCCGATCCCGCGGCACGACGGCCTTCAGCGAGCGCGGCACGAGAGCCCCCGAGTCACGCAGCCAGTTCACGGGACGGCGCACAATGCACATGGAACAGGGCCCTGTCAGCCCTACCAGTTGAAAAAGACAAGACAGGAAGGTCTGAACGGAGGCGCTTGGATGGTACGAGGTTTCGAAGCCGTAATATGTCAGTATAGCGATACTTGAGAAACTGGTTACTGGAATACGTCGAACTCGCGGAATGTCGATACATTCTGCCACATAAACGTTCCCGGCAGTCGGCAAAGGCAGTGCACAGCAAGCAGGCCGGAGCCACACCCACATCGTCACACAATTGCACAGATTGCTGTCAACACATTGCACATCTATAATTGCAGCTACCAGCAGATTATTGTTCCCAGAGATATAGCTTATTTTGATATACGCTAATTGCACTACGTTACAAGGCCCCAGCGGCCACCTGCCTAATGTACCCATAGACGGATAGCTACAGCCAGCAAGGCTGGCAAATAATGCCACCAGTAGCAATCCTAACCGCAGCTAGAGCCCAAGCAACGCTCTACCGTGGTACAAGCCGCCCCCCATCTGTGGATCTACCCTTCAGCTACCAGCGCCCTCTTCTCTGCACCTTATCGCTGAGTTTGTCCGAGCCAAGCAGTCTGTTCCAGCTCCTCACTCGTACCCTGCCTCTGTGTGTTCACCCACAGAGCTCCCCGTGTCGCCATGGACGCTGTCTCTCTCCCTCCGCTCCTAGGCCATGGGCAGCTCGGCAGCGGCGGCGTATCGGCCGAACGCGTGGTGGAACAGCTGCCTCTCGATGTCGCCCAGCAGGCTGGAGGCGCCGATCCTGAACATGGTGCTGTTGAGCCAGGCGTTCCCCAGCTCCTCCTTCATCAGGATCAGCCAGACGAGACTGTCCTTGGCCGAGCGGATCCCGCCGGCCGGTTTGAAGCCCACCCGGTACCCGGTACGCTCGTGGTAGGCGCGGATGGCGCGGCACATGACCACCCCGACGGGCAGGATGGCGTTCACACCCTCCTTGCCTGCGGGGCGAGACGGGACGGCAGTCAGGGCGGTGGCTTCTTCACTCATCAGCACTTTACTCATTAGGTATTAAAGTAAGCAAGGTCCTAGAGGCACATCAGCGTTGCCCGACTCTAGTAATAGCCATATTTAATTCTTAGCAACTACAGCTTGATTTATTGTCATTCAGAGAAAACACCTGGACAATGGCGTTTGCTGAAAACATGACGTGCCAGCTAATGAGACATTATTGAAGGATCATGAAACCAAAATAAATGCTAATTGGGATTTGTGTTTCAGGGTGGAAGCTGTAAATCAACAAATCCCTAAAAATATCAATAAAATACCTTAGACTTATGAACAGTATCCCGTTATTTGCATGCTGCATTGTTACAAAATACAATGCGCAATAGCATATCACATACCCGTAGGTACACTGAATTTACATGCAGCTCAAGACTCCTCACGCAGGGAAAAATTCCGGTACAGGAACATCAACACTCCCTGACCCCTATTCGTACGCTCCCGCTGTTCCGAGTAGTGACTGGTACGGCGGAGGTCAGCCCCCAGTCTCCCGTTCCCGAGAATCTGGCAGTCCGGGCAGTACCCTGAGGTCGAACGGGCACATGATCTCGCCGGGAATGCAAGTTTACACAAATAACACGCCGCTCCTAATACTGACTAATGGCCGGTTCGGCTTTGGCAGCGGATTACCGGCTGGCAGTTTTGTGTCGGCTGCCAGATTACAAAGGTTACCAGGTGTGCCTACTATTGGTGCCAATCGGAATTTCTTTTCTTGGAATTCCAATTTTTGTCCAATTCCAATTTGGAATTTGGACGGAATTCTTAACATTTTTTGGAAATTAATCGGAACACAAGGCCTTTAAAATTTAAAATTTTAAAACGGAGGCCTTTAAAACGCTTTTAAACACTTTTAAAATTTACGCAAAAAATGCAAAAATCGTTAAAAATTGGAATAGCGCCCGCTTTGGACAAAATTGGAAATTTACTTGGCAATTTCTTGGAATTGGATCGGAATTGGAATTGAAATTTCATGAAATTGGCACCACTAGTGCCTACCCCCAAACGATTGACAAACACACCCGTAATGAGGGGGCGCCGTGACCGCACGATTCGCAGAGAACATCAACAGTTATGTAACATTCAGACGAAGGTGATGCGCACAAAAATGGATTATCCTTCAATGCTATTTCAAATTTATGAATTAAGCAATCATCATAAGGAAATGACATGCCTGAAAAAGAAATCACAGTAATCGGTTAAAGAGACTTGTAAAAAAGAACATCATAATTGTTCGAGGCTTCGGTGTTTGATGATTTTATGATCCTCAAATAAACCATCAAAATTGAAAACTGAGAGCGTTCTATACCGTTGGTGAACACCGAACAATAGAAAAATACGTCAGGGGTCCAGATGATAAAAAGATCCTAAAATGGGACACATTTTGTCACAGCATATGCCCTCCTCGCCACGTGAATACCACACCCAAGGCCCTATACCACACCTAAAACCGCCCCACCCCCCCCCCCTCCCCGCCGCTCCCTCACCGGTGGAGGTTTTGATAAAGTCGGCGCCAGCCATCATGCAGACCAGCGAGGCCTTGTAGACGTTGGCCAGCGATCCCAGCTCGCCCACCGCCAGGATCGTCTTCATATGAGCGTCTCCGCAGGCCTCGCGCATCAGTTTGACCTCGTCATACACGGTCTGAGAGGACAGAGGGTTCACAGTCAGCCAAAGACAGTGTCACCACAGTCACCACAGGCCTCGCGCATCAGTCTGACCTCGTCATACAGGGCCTGAGGGAATGCGGCGGTCACAGCAGCGGTCATAATGACGTCTCAGACGAACGCAGTAAACGGTGATAGGACAGAATACCAAGCTTGCCGGACCGTGACACGCCCGATTTCAATGCTACCCGCGAGAGGCGGAGCATGATTTTCATGTGTATTACACGGTGTTTTATGAATACTATTTTGTGTTCCTGAAATAACGCATAACTTCATGAAGAAACAGTGTCTCAGCTAACTAGTCGGACCTCGTCTGGGACAAGAACAGATGGGACCGATAGATGGGGTTCGGGTGTTCCCGATGAAGAAAATCATGCTCGAAACTCATGAAAATCATGGAAAACATGCTCGCAGCTCCGGTATTCCGAATGTCCAAAAGCCACTGTGAGCAAAAACGAATTAATTTCAGACAAGTCGGCAAACGATAGGTAAATTAAGCTTAATTTGACGGAGCCAATCTCGTTTTACATCCGAGTGTCAGGATTCGAGGGATGGGTTCCATAGCAAAGCATTCATGGCTTCAGCGAAGTCTACAAGCAAGAAATGTGGCATGGCCATTGGAAATAATGTGAAATGAAGCAACACGTATCCGCGGTTGAACAGCGATAATTCACAGGTAATAAAACGCTACAGCCTACAAGTGTTTCATCTAAACTGTTTCACCAATCATAATAATCTGAGCACTGTAACACGAGCTAAGGTGCTCAGAGCTTCACAGGCAGTTCAGCAAACTGCAATGGTTGCGGAGAAGGTCATCGTAGCGGTTTCATGTAGGTACAACATGCTTTATGGAATGCGACAGGTCTAACGCCACTAAGTCAAAAATGAAGGACCACGGCACTAAAAGTGGACAATGGAGCTTAGTTAACACGCGTTAACAACCCACCATGGAAGCCAAACCAGTTCACATCCTTTGCAACGAACAAGGTCAAAAGCCCAAATGACTAATAGAAAAGACACTCGCAAAAAGGCGACTCGAAATGTCAAGAACGCTTACAAGGGACCAGGGTAGTCCCGAAACGAGCGCAATTATGTAGAAACACAAAAGGTCTGCAGAAAAATATTGAATGTGGCTGTTTAAACGTAGGAAGTGGAACAAATTTAGAAGCTGATTTTCCACCGTGTAACAGAAAATGCGACGCGCTATTTTCAAAAACTACCGACGTCAATGGCTTTCAG